TGATTAAAGATTGCACCAGAAGCTCGATCATTATTAGTGCATGAAGGTTCCACAGTGATAGATGTGTTGATAAGAATTGAATGTCCTATCATAGGAATGACTGCTTGGGAGCTTGAACTCTATTAAAATAAAGTGTTGAAGGATGATCTCAGCCAACAAAGAAGATACTTGAGAATGGTGTTTACCTCTAACTTTCTCAACATAAGTCAAATTTAAAACATATGCTCTCCTAATAAGCTAAAGAATGATTTCTACTCCTTAAAGGAAATTCTCCTAGTACTAGACTGTCATAACTTGTCACTAATTATGTCAGATAGAGCTAAATTTTTCAAAAGTGTTGGAGCTTTGTTGTTAGACTTGGCTACATAGGATGGATGTGCAGAGTTAGCAGTGTCTAGGTGATCAACTTTCTAAGGAGAAACTTCAGTACATGAAGGGGATGCTAGCTATGAATCTCTAATCATTAAGTTTCGAGATAGATGCACCCCTCCAGTATATACTTCCTTCAGTTGTTAAGCCTCTTGTAAAAGTTAGAGGATCTCATTTTTAGACTCCATTCATTTTACACGCTCTTTACTAGGTGCAAAAGAAGTTCCTTCACCAGCTGGGTGATGCATATTACTGGAAAATGAAGTGTATTATATCAAGAAGCTCGTTTATTTTATTTGATAGCCATTCTAGAAGTGAAGAACGCTATCAACAGGACTTTGTTTCCCAAAAATAGTGTCAAAACTATTGCATGCCAAAAAATTTGTAGTGGTAGAATAATAATTTAATGTCTTAGCACTATATGAAGATCTAGAACACACAAAGAATGCAAAAGTAGCAAAAGAAGGCACCATCATTTTCATGCATGGAAAAATCCTTAAAATAGAGAAAATCACGAAACCTAACTTAGTCAAAATAATCCACTTTGTGATTTTATGTATATTGGTCTGCTCTTCTTCATAACTAAAGAAGAAGGAATTATAAAGTTGTCATATATATATCGTGATATATATATATATATGATAATAGTTCAGTGATAATAGCCTTAATTGGGTTGCAACAAATATAATTATTGCCAATAATAGCAATAGCAAGCTGCAAAGGTTATAGTTGATTCCTACGAAAGTAGCAGTCCATCACAAATGTTGAATTTTGGCCAACCTTTGTGAAGGGGATTAAAAGAAATTTAGGTGAAATGAAAATGGATAGAAAAGAATAAAAAAACTGGCCCAAAATATTTCTTAACAACACGGAAACACTTCATAACAAAATATATTTGACATTCAAAGCAACACGTTTAAATATAATTTACAACACACACAAATCAACATGGCCCCTCATTATCCCACTACTTTGATAACTACAACCCACTTCTCCCACTACACCCACTCCTTCCACTCTCTTATATGGCCACTCACCCACTTTCCCACTACCTATGACTATTCATAGGGGCTTGATCATCTATGTTTAGCTCACAAATTAAGACTATCACACTTAGGTTCACACAAACGAACATGTAAACAAAACCATTATACAATTTGCATAAAGTACAAAAAATAAATACAATACAACATTAATACAAATGAATAAACATAGAATTTCTTAAATTTTAAATCTCTTTATTTGGATCTTAATATTGGGTCCACTTGAATGTGAAACATCTCTCTTAGATTGTGCCCTGGTAGTGGGTCCTACTTTGGTACTTGTGGGCCCCACAATTGGTCCACCTCCTATGCTTGTGGGCCTCTGTTTCGGTCCACCTCTTATGATTGTGGGCCCAACCTTGATGTCAATATGATGTATCATATCATTTTTTTGAAAATAAAATTTACAAAAATTATAGTATGATGGAAAAAAAATTCATCTGTCTCACGTTCTATAATTAGAACATCTACTACATATTTCAACATATTTGCATAATATTATGTATATACACTACCTGCGAGCATGCCACCAAAATCAACTAGCAATGATCAAGTAGATAGCTTAGTTAAGATGGTAGTGGAGGTTGCCTTTTATAATAAGGAAAATTTTCACAAGTTACAAAAGAATATCATGAACCTAACCACTCAAATATAGGTCATGACTACTAGGATGAAAAATCAGAACTCGCCCAAACTCATATTTAAATTGATATTCTAGAAGTAATTTTTTTTGAAAACCCATAAAAAATGGCCACCCATCTACGAGAGACTATTCTTGAAAACCTATTAGAGTCTACTATTTAGGAATCATCATCACAAGTGAACCCAATAAAAAAGTTAAAATAGATGCCTTAACTTATGATAGTGTTTATGATCCTAATAAGTTCTACGATTAGCTCACTTAAATTGGATGACTATCAAAGAATGATTGGTACAACAACAACAATGATAACAAGTCGTTGTCTCACTATGTAGGGTCGACTACATGAATCATTTTCTCTATTGTGTCCTATTGAGTGTCATAGTTTCATTTAATTCTAATAAATTATGATCATTTTTTTATAAAACATGTCTAAGTCTTTTTACGTATACCTCTAACTTTCTTAACATAAGTCAAATTTAAAACATATGCTCTCCTAATATGGTTATCAGATGGTTGACATTTAATGTGACCAAACCATCTAAGGTGACTCTCTCTAATCTTGTTTATCATATTACTCCAATCCTTTCACGGGCATATTCATTTCACATTTTATCACTAAGTGTAAAGCCACTCATTCATCTGAGGATTCTCATCTTTGAAACGCTTAACTTAATTTTATGCTTCTCTTTTACAGGACAACCTTTTGCATCATAAATCATTATAGGTCTCACCAAAATCTTATAAAACTTTCCTTTAATTTTAAACATTACTTTTCTATCACTCAATAGGCTCAGTGCATTCCTCCACTTCAACCATCCAACTTGAATTCTACTAATAAGATTTTCATTTAAATCATAGACCAGAGATATCCAAAACGTTTACTCATTTTAATAACTTGATCAATAATTATTATAACTAAGCTATTGGATCTACTATTAAAATTACATTCCATGTATTCAATTTTTTATCTACCAAATAAAAGCCTTCAGGTTCCAACGTTGACCTCCATAAATCAAGTTTTTCCTTAACTCTCTCTCTCTCTCTCTCTCTCTCTC